AGAGAGAGAGAGAGAAAGTTCTATGTAGTATTTTGAGTTTCTAATATGGTATCAGAGCCATAGGCTGCTCAACCTCTAATTTGAGCTCGCTCCTCAGATATGAGGTTGACGGATCTGAGCTCAGCTTCAGATTAGTTCTGACTCTTTGTCAAACAACGGCACTCCTTGTCTCTCTAAAGTGATCTAGATTCTTTATGACTCTTTTGTCAAACAACTGCACCCTTTCTCTCTCTAAAGTGATCTTGGCACAAAGTCGGATAAAACTATGGCCCCCAAAATGGCGTCACGACATTCCCTAGACTCCTGTATACTCCACCTTCATAACATGCAAACCCTTATGTTAGACTCCGCTTCCCCTAAACTCAACACAGCAAAAATCCATCAACTCTCTATCTCTCTCCCTCTTCTTGATTCAGGAACCCAAGTTAATTCCATAAACTCTCTCTCTAAAAAAAAACAAAAGTCTCTCTCTTTTAGGTTGACGTCCACAAGCATCTTAGGTTGAATCATGCATGGAAAAGCTTTGTGCACCCCTTACACCCATATTTCCAACCATACTTCTCATCCCTTATTTTTCTCACCAAAAGATCCATGGCCTCAACAACTATTGCAACTATCTTATCCTTAGCAGTCTTCACTTCCAATGGGCATTGACCACGCAATTCAAATTTTCTTATTGTACTTTGAAGGATCCAGCACAAAGGAAAATCTGACCCCTGATCTCCACATTACCATAAAAAAAACTCTCCCTTTGCACAAAAAACTCCCCCTTTGCACAAAAAACTCCAGCTTTCCTCTTCGTCCATGGTTGAATCAATCTTCGTCTATGGTTGAATCAATCAACACTAGTAGTTTAGTGAGAAAAACTCATATATCAAGGAACCATTGCCAAGGGCCTCAGATTCGCTTTTGACTCCTATGTTCTCTGTCGAGTCGTGTTTCGAATCTCTGCATAATCGTGTTTCGACTCTCTGCCGAGTCGTGTCTCGACTCTCTGCAAAACAACCTTTGTCTATGTTATGGCCCGTATTCGGGACTACGAGTTGCTGAATCTGTCTTGGACTGCGAGTTGCTGAATCTGTCTCCGATCCACATCGAGTTCTGTTGGCTCTTCCAACTACCAATTTGTGCTTGTTGTTCAAGCATTATGAGTATGGAGATCACTGCTTCTATTGGGTACGCCATGCATGTAAGACTTAAAGATCCAACTCGTTTGTTTATATAACTTATTGTTTAAACTCTAGCTGCTTTATGTACAAACATCTTGAGTTTGAGAGGGAATATTAGCGTATGGATATTTATATTGATATACATCATTATGAATATATGATGAATACATATCAGTATGGATATGTATATGTATAGGTATATATCTCTTAGGTGTTTAGGATTATGATAAGATTAGTTAGTAATTATTAATAATTGTTGATATTTATCCAGAACTGTTACTAGCCGTATATTTATACGGAGTCTTGTATATTCTTTATTAATCAATAAAGAGAGAGTTCTCTATAGTATTTTGAGTTTCTAACATTTATTGTATAGTTAATTAGCACCATCTAAGTGTGTATTGTATATTTGGGAATTATCCCACATCGAAGAGATGCGGGAGAAAATGACCATATAAAAGGTTGTGAAATCAACCCCATCATGAGCACGTGATGGTTTGGAGAAAGCCACATGAAAGCTTGGAAGAGTTAACGTATGAAAGACGTAGCGCCCAAGCTTGTTAATATATGTTGGTGGCCCACTTTTAAAATATTTTTCAAAAAGTAAAAAAAGCGTTTCATGGTGGCCCACTTTTAAAATAATTTTCAAAATGTAAAAAAAAGTGTTTCATACGAACAAGTGATATGTGGGCGATACCCAATTTGAATTGCCTGAGTCCGGATCGGGTCACCGATTTTTAAATGAATCTAAGAATTTGAAATTGTGCCCGATTCCGGATCGGGTCACCAATTTTTAAATGAATCTAAGAATTTGAAATTGTGCCCGATTCCGGATCGGGTCACCAATTTTTAAATAAATCTAAGAATTCAAAATACAATTTTCTAGACGTAGGCATTGGGGAGAATTTGAAATTGTGCCCGATTCCGGATCGGGTCACTGATTTTTAAATGAATCTAAAAATTCGAAATACAATTTTGTAGACATAGGCATTGGGGAGAATCAAAATTTCTGAATAAGTTTAGATCATGTATACTATGTTCCTGTAAGAGCGTACTAAGCATCTACTTCCTCGGCTCAAAGACCTACTTGGAAGGATTTTCTCATTCTAAAATTATGAGAATCACTAATGAATCACTAGATAATTATTTTAAAAAATTACATTTTGAGTTTTTCAACACTTGGATCTTGCCCTTTAAAAATTGGACAATCTTTCTTTAATCATGAGATTTTTTTTATTTTTTTTTTCGAGTACGAAGAGAGTTCGACCCAGAAATTTTTTATTAGGATGTTAGTATATGCGTTGAAAGAGGTTGCATCCCTAAAATTTTAGGTTCCAAAATAACTCCTGTATTAAGTTCTAGCCGAATGAATCAATGGACATTATCCTTCCGAGGGAGTACAAAATCTTTTGGCATAAGATTATTATTATGACCGGAGTACAATGATTTGGCGAAGTTGTCTCCAATAAGAGGCTGAAGTGTCGAGGTTTTTGTACTTTCCCTTTGTCTTTTATAAATTGTAATTTAATGATCATGTGAAGTGGTGCCCCTATGAACAAGGCTCACCCAATTGACCGGTGAGCCCTTAAGTAGATAAACTAAAAAAAGACGTGCCAAAACTGTAAAAAAAGATGCTGAATTGGGCAAGGAGGGAAGAGCTGCCTTGGGACAGTAAATATATCTGGTACTCCTTGGTGGATACAAGGAGCGAGAAAGAGAGTGAGAGTTTGGGGCCGAGAGAGAAAAAGCAGGGCCACTAAACCTAGAGAGAGAGAGGTAGGACATACTGCTGATATGGGTGATTCAGAAGAGGTAAGTTGGGTGTCGACCTGCACCATCACTCCCTCTCTGGCATCGCAGGAGCAGCACCTAGAGCTGGGGCCTTCGCAAATCTTCATGCTCACAATAAAGTACATCCAAAAGGCCCTCCTCCTACCCAAATCCGATCCCAATCTCGATCCCGACTTCTCCTCTTCTTCTAGGGAGTCTATTCTACACAGGCGCAAGACCTCGCTTTCGGAGTGCCTCTCCCACAACGATGCAGGCGTAGATTTCTACATGCCAAGGCGATCCATATCACTTTAAATGACATCCTCGGCTCTCCATATGTACCCCTTGTGGTGAGGTCCTTCTTTGTTAATAGCGGAGCTATGTCTCATGAGGGGCGCTTCCTCCCGTTACTTGCGCGGTTCAGGTATTTTCATTCACCTCCAACTTCATTCTCTGATAACTACTGTTAGGGCGGTGTCATTTCTTTATGGATTATGAAGGGTGAAGGATTTATATTTCATACAAGGTCATGATCACTCCTAGATTGCAATGTAACATCAAGTAGTCAGCAGTGTGCCACATAGAGCCCCTTAAATTCCTTCAATTTTTGCATTTAATTATTATGAAAATTATTATTTAAAGGATGCAGTGTGTCTGAGCTGAGGCTCTAAACAATCAAAATAAAGCGCACCTTCAAATAGTATTAAGTAATGTGGTTTCAATTTTGAAAATATTTGTGATAGCCTCAAAATATATTTTCATATTTAATTATAAAATTTAAAGTTTAAAAAATAGTCTAGATCGAACAATCTATGAAAACTTGAAAATCTTGAAAATTGACGGTCCAAAAATGCATTACAAGATGCACTATTTCCAAAACTTGAAATCTATTTTCTTCTCATGTTCATACATTTTGATGTCGAGACGATCAATATGAGGATATTTAGGCATCAAAACAACATGTTCTAGTGAAATTTTTGAGGCAGGCTCTAATTTGATTGTTTAGAGCATCGACTCTATATAAACTTTTTCCTTATGTAAAACCAATGATTTAGGACCGGTGTTTGTAAAATCGAACCAGAACGGTTAATTGAAAATGGGCTTGGAAGCGATTTAGCTGGTCTAACCGGTCAACCGGCCGATTCAGCCGCTCCAACCGAGC